TACCAGGAGGAAAGGCTAAGTCTGCTGGTCTGCAGAGACTGTGGTCATCTCCACCCCAGGGACTCAGGCCCAGGGAGATCTGAGTTCGGTCCCTGAGCCTATGGCTGGAGTTGCTGGAGTTCTGCAGGGAAGACCCTCTCAGTGAAGAAGGATGTGTCATGGTCAGGCCTGAAGAGGCACTCAGACCGCAGTGCCACAGCCGGTTTGTTGGGCTATGTGGGCAATCTCTTGGAGACCAAGCCATTCAGCCTCCTTGCCTCCAGCAGGGGAAAAGCATGGCCTGGATCTAGAGATGGATGCTGCTCTTCCCCTGCCCAGGGAGCTTAGTTTGTTAGGCAGTTATGAGTCCTAGTGCTGGCTGATGCCTCTCCCACAAGGAGCTCAAAGGGTTTGGGCAGCAGGCAGCCGCAGCTATGGTCCTGGTTACTGCTCCCCATGGGGAGCTTGCAGGCTTAGACGGATTTCAGCTGAGAGGCTGTTGAGAATCTGCACAGCTCAAGGATTGGGACCCTACGCCCCAGTGGCCAGTGGGATTTTTAAATCTGTGGGTTGCATGGTTCCGTGGAAAAAGCACGGTTTCCCCAGCTGGATAGCGTGCTCAGTCACTGCCTCCTTGGCTGAAGGTCGCGGGGGCGGGGGAGAGGCGGAGTCCCCCCTGCTCCATGTGGCTCTCAGGTGAGTGGTGCACCATTTGCTCTTTCTTCCTCTCCGTGGATCACATCAGCCACCTAGTCAGTTCTGATCAGAGAACCTGTATGCCTTGGTTGCTGGTGAAGGATTCACATGCTAATTATGGTTCTTTTCAATGGGAGCTTCTGATCTCCCCTGTTTCCGGTTGGCCATCTTGGCCTTGCCCACAGGAGTTTTTTTATATAGCCCAGAGACATGTCCCTTTCTAGGTATGCTTTGCAAACAGTTTCCCCTAATCTGTAGTTTGTTTACTTAACTGTGTTTTTCAAAGATCAAAGGTTTTTAATTTTGATAAAGTATAATTTATAATTTTTTCCCTTATATGGCTTATGCTCTTTGTGTTCTATTTAAAAAATTATTGCCTAATTCAATGGCACAGATTTTTTTACTTGTTTTTTCCAAACATTTTATTGTTTTAGCTTTTACATTAGGATACAGAATATATTTTGTAGTGATTTATGCATATAGTATGAAATAACAAATGAGGTTTATTTCACACACAGACATTTGGGTGTTCTATTTTCATTTGTTGAAAGACTAATCTTTCCTCCATTGAATTATTTTGGCAACTTGACCATATAAGTAACAGTGTATTTATTAATTTTATTCTGTTTCATTGATCTCTAGATCTATTAAAGTAGCTTGATTATAGCAGTTTTTCGGCTTTACTTTTACTTTTTATCTTGCCAAGTTCTTTTTCTTTCTGTGTGAATTCTAGAATAGGCTTGTCAGTTTCTTGAAAAAAGATTGAGACATTTTATTCCACGTTTTATAGGGGTCATAAATCTGGTATAATGTATGCCTGGACCTATTGCTGATGCCTTGTAATTACATGGAAGTTAAGAATAAAGCGGACATTGAGTAGCATAGAAACAGGAAGATAAATTGGATTGAAGTGACATCTTTTGAGCCTAGCAGCTTTTTGATTTTCAGTAATATGATACAATAAATTCTATTTTTTAAATAAACCAGTTTAATTTGTTTTGATCTCTTACAAATAATAGTCTTAAATTTCACACAATAATTATAATTCAGACTTTTTAAAAATTATGTTTTAAGTTCTGGGGTACATGTGCAGATCATGCAGGATTGTTACATAGATATACACATACCGTGGTGGTTTGCTGCATCCATTCCCCCATCATCTACATTAGGTATTTCTCCTAATGTTATTCCTCCAGAATCCTCCTACTCCCTGCTACCCCTCTCCTAGTCCCCATACCCTCCAAAAGGCCCCTATGTGTGATGTTCCACTCCCTGTGTCTATGTGTTCTCATTTTTCAACATCCACTTATGAGTGAAAACATGCGGTATTTGGTTTTCTGTTCTTGTGTCACTTTGCTGAGAATGATGGTTTCCAGCTATGTCATCCATGTCTCTGTAAAGGACATGAACTCATCCTTTTTATGGCTGCATAGTATTCCATGGTGTATATGTGCCACATTTTCTTTATACAGTCTATCATTGATGGGCATTTGGGTTGGCTCCAAGTCTTTAGTATTGTAAGCAATGCCACAATGAATATACGAGTACATGTGTCTTTATAACAGAACAGTTTGTTCCAATGACTTTAAAAAAAAAAAAGAAATATCTTCCTGGGCTGTGGTCCCCCATACAAATCTATTTTGACAGCCATGAGCTCAGACAATGTTAATAAACTTCTCAACACCTATTTTAAAAATCCCAAATTTTTGATCATCGGATTTAAGACTGTCCATTATTGGAGCTTGTTGTAAATTGTAAGTGCATCCTTTATAATCCTCTACCTCACCTCAACAATGTTTTATTCCATCATAATTTCTCATTTTATCTACAATGCACCCTGTAAAAGCTCTCCTCTGAAACTCTTTTTTAAAATTTTTACTGCTGCTTCAAAATTTAGGAGCTTATTCCACCTGTCTTCCACAGTTGAAATCTTAGATGTACTACATGTTCATAATCCCCACAGGTGTGACTAGACGTTACAGTTAGAATGAGTCCCTCCATCATCTATCTTTGAGGCGACTAGAGGACTTTCTGCATCTGTGATAACAGTTATCACACTTTGTGGACCTGTTCCTATAACTATAGAAGGTCTTTAATTCAGGACTTTATAAAGATGGTAAGAAGGTAAAACAAAATGAATTTATACCATGTTGTTTTGTGCCTATCTCTCTGTCTCTCTAAAATGTGAAATGTCTAAAGAACAAGGACCACCTTTGTGTCCTCCAAAGCACCTGGAAAAATGCTTTACACAAATTGTTTTTAAATCAATTCTAAAATACAACTAATAGCAGTGTCTTCTTAATTTTTAAAATTTTATTATAAACTAAAAATTTATAATTGTTTATATTTATAGGGTATAAGTTGATGTTAAGATTTATTAATACAATGTGAAATTATTAAATTGAGCGAATTAACACACCCCTAACCTCAATAACAGCACCAATAACAGCTTTGAAGCTTCAAATATGACTGATACTTGCGGCCCTGCTTTTTTGTAGCTCCCGTGAAGTTAGGAATTTGGGGGTCTATTTTAGATACTATAGGCCTGTTAGTTTTGATGGGAAACTTTGTTACTATTTCTGGTCTTTTTGTTTTAAAGCATATACATATTTTTGGTTTCTCTCTTTAGGATTATAGGGACTGACAAGTATACATTCTAAGGAAACCAAAGGTACTTAAACTGTAAGCCATTTGCATTGTTCATAAATAAGTTTAGACACATTAATACACCTCTATACATTCATTAACAAGATATGTTTTTAGAATGATATTACAAAAATAAAAATACTGTTTGAAAATTTACTGTATGTTATATCCAGACCAGGAGTTTTCAATCAATCTTGAAAGGTGTCTATTTTTTTTTCCTTCTTCATTTTAGTATAAGAAGTTGGTTGGCAGTGTCCAGTAAAGGTCTACTGAGTCCATATATATCTGTGGGCCTATTTCTGTAAGTACAGAAGTTCTTTAATTCATAACTTTATAAAGATAGCAAGGTGATAAATTGAAATGAATGTACACCATGTACTGAGACTACAGAAGATATGCTACACAGAGTTTACCTGATAAGCACTAATTTATAAAATGCAACCTGCACAATCTCTATAGTATAGTTTTTCTATTTTATTTTTGATGCTCTGTGTTAAAGAAGAGGTGAATATTCTAAGCTTGCTGTGGCCAAGATAAGTGTGTATGTTTTCCGTTTTCTGTTCTTTTATTGTCACTGAAGTTGTGGCATGTCAGAACTGGCTTGTATAGCTCCCAAGGGGCAAACGTTCAATGTTCAGGAATTTTATATGTCAGTTGTTAAAACATTGGTAGCTTGAAGTTAGTCCTAGTGTAAGTATTCACACAATGAATGTTGGCAAGTACTATAAATTAGTTATCCTGCCTACTGCTTCACCCAGGAAACTGGTTTATCAATATTCCACTGATCATAATAGTTATGGGTATTCTTATTTTTATTTCATGCTATTTGTGTTACAGACTAGTCTAAGCACTAGCTTACCTAGAAGATCTTGCCCTTTTTCAGTGTAATTATCCTCTTGGGTACAAGGTTGCCCCGAAATACTGAGTGTCCAAGAAGCTCCCACTGGCTTACGTGTGACCTCAGGAAGTTGTAAGTTGCTACCCAACTGCTATTAAACCAAGTCTGGCAGGTCTGATATGCTTTGTTACTGCAGCTTCGTTCACCAAGGAAATGTTAGTTTGAACAGCATTACCTAAGGAGCAAGTTTTCTGACAGCGGTCCTTATCAGGACTCTTGTTATAAATTAATGATTTATGTTCTTTATTTGACCAACCTTGCCTTCATCCTCATCCAAACGTTTTTCTCTTCTTACAGCTTGAAACGAGAGATGAAGTGTTATTCTCTTATATTTGCAATTGCAGACAGTTCATAACGTCATTGAATGTTCTTTCTAATATTTAGCTCTTTCCCAATGCGGTCTGCTGAATGTTACTTACCTGAGAATTATCTCTCTAAACCTACAACACAGACTTCAATTCCCAGCTTTCCCAATATCTCGCCCATCAGTGTTTAGCCACCATTTCACTAAAACTTACTGATAGTGAGATAGAGCACATAGGGTAATTGGAACTGGGCGTCTGGAATAGTTAGGTCCCCTGGTCTTCACCATGGGCAGGGTCCTCCCACCACCTCAGCCTTTGGGTTCAGAAGGAACTGTCAGAGAGAACCTTGTTCTTAGTTATGGGAAGAGGTGGGAGACCTAACCTTTAATACCACTCTGACCTCCTCCTCAACCCTAGTCATACTGTGGTAGAGAGCCTGGGTCACTCTGCTGACTGGGCTTGAGTGAAATGGTCCATTTAATTGAGCGGTCCCCAACCTTTTTGGCACCAGGGACTGGCTTCCCGGAAGACAACATTTCCGTGGACTGGGTTGGGGGATGGTGTTGGTATGATTCAATTGCACTATGTTTATTTTACACTTTATTTCTATTATTAATTCATTGTAATATATAATAAAATAATTACATAACTCACCATAATGTAGAATCAGTGGGAGACTTGAGGTCATTTTCCTGCAACTAGACGGTCCTATCCAGAAGTGACAGAACACAGTGACAGAGCATCAGGCCAACATTAGATTCTCATAAGGAGCACACAGCCTAGATCCCTCACATGCCCAGTTCACAACAGGGTTCAAGCGTTTGTGAGAATCTAATGCTGCTGCTTCTGACAGGAGGTGGAGCTCAGGTGGTAAAGCCAGTGATGGGAGCAGCTATAAATACAGCTGAAGCTTCATTTGCTCACCTACTGCTCACCTCCATGGCCTGGGGGTCGGGGACTCCTGATTTAAGTGATGTTTACATGATACTTCTGCTTTCAGGGAATTGGGTAACCTGTGTCTTCCTTCTTGCCCAGCATGGGGGTCTGAGACAGGGAGCTCACATATTTGGAGGGCACTGATAATATCTCCAGTGGTACTGAGTTTAAATTAGTCTCGTTACCCCTATTAAAGAGAGAGAATCTTCATCTCTCTGCTTTTCCACCAGAAGGATAGACATATCATGTTCTCAGATTTTATAAACCTGTACACATCTGTGAAGTCTGAGAATAACAAGGAACGTTATTGGAGAGAACATAACAGAGAGTGAGCTCTGCCTTCCCCAGGTTTGCTCATTGTTTCTTGAACATTCCCCTCCTTCATTATCATTTTGCATTTATTTGTATATATGGGAGCTTTCGTTTTAAAACTAGAACAGAAGGAAGAAATTTGGATGGCATAGAGAAAGTAGATAGAACGGATTAAAAAATGGAAAGAATGATATTTTGTCTAATCTTGTCTGACCCTTTGTAATGGGTATGAACTTCTCTAGTTAACATATGAGAATGGGAAATGGATGGATCTTTATTTCATGAGAGCCTTAGACTAAATCTTACAAAGACAATTGCTGACAAAGACAAACTCTTTCTTACAGCCTTAGAGAGACTCTAGATTGTTGAGAAGGCAGCAAATCATAAGGACCTATTAAAGATCATTTATCTGACTGCATGATATTAAGGAGGTCATGTGAAAATGGCTTCAGCATGGTGTAGAGGATGTAACATATGTCAGGAGACATGAATCCTGAACCCATATATACTCATATTTTTAACTTACAATTCAGAAAACTTAAGTTTCTGAATGAGAAAACTGTACTTTCCTTTTTCTCACCTTCCTACTCAGCTTTTCTCAGCCCTCAGGGTCTGCTTAAAAGGCCTAGTGACTACAGTGGTTAATCCTACAAAATGTTTTTTTTTTTTTTTAAACAGAAAATGGTGTTTATATAAAAAAAATCAATTATGCTATTTAAAACTTAATTATACTCAGTACAAATATATTTTAAAATCTAAAAAGAGTAAAGTTTTCCACTTAGAAGTGCTTATATGTCTGGGAATATGGGTGAAAACACAATGATTAAGATAAATGAATCTAAGATTCACAACCCTTTTCCTGCAGAATTCTTACCGACTTCTCCAGTAGAGCTCTGTTTCTTGCTGCTTTGCTCCCAGAAGACAGAAAGACATTTTAAAGAACATTATTGTAGGGCAGAAGGCTTTTTTTCTATAGCTAGAGGGGTTATATTGTAAATTAAAATGGATCTCTTTTGAGTAGATTTTACATGCTGTTATCATCCTTTACAAACCCAGCACCTGGAGACAGATGTACAAATATATTAAATTAGAAGATTATCAGTTTAATAAAAAAATTTCCACCAAGTTATTTTTAGTATCTGCTGTGGTATATCACCCAGAACCTTCTTCAGATACCATTTCCCCAAGTGTCAGAAGAGTTGTCAGGGACTGCTTATAACTAACTCGATCCCCAAGGAATGCTCTCAGACAAGGGGATTTGCCTCTGCCATATTTATGCTCTCTTCCCTGGGGTAGCTCATGTGTATTTACTGACTCATGTTGTAATCAAATGCTCGGTTCCCTTGTGTTTTCTGGAGACAGCTATGAACCACTGCGGTCTTTCTAGTCTCCGTAGAATTGGCTAAGCCTCTTGTTACAACAGCTTTGCAGTTCTGTTTCTTTCACTCTTCCTTCCTGATGACCTTACCCCTGTACAGGTGTTAATCTCAAGCAAATGAGAATTCTTTCTTTCAAATCTGTGTTTAAGATTCTGCTCACAGGAAATGAAATCTGACCTAAGATAGTTGGTACAAGGAATTGTTTGGCCCAAGGAAACAGATTCTAAAAGAGATGTGGGAACTTGGTCATGTCTGTCCCATTATGAGTGGTAGAGGAAGTGCAGACGTTCCCTGGTGTGTTGTTCCAGGGAAGCTGTTAAAATGTTAACTAGTGGTAACCAGGATATCACATCAGGAAAAGGGAATGCCCTGAAAAGTGCAATAACTCAGATATTAGAGAGGCTCAGAAAAAAAAAAAAAACAGTAAATACAGGACAATGAAATTGGATGGCTGCTGCTGAATGCTATCAATTTACTAGAGAAAGACAAAGAAAGGCTGGTGTGAATTAATCACCAGGTTAAAGCACAATGTGAAAGCCAGAATATTCTCCTTGGCTGAATTAGAAGAGACTCTCATTTCTTATAGTCAAATATAAAAAGCTGAGGGTCAGTCAGACCCAGGACTTAATTTAAAAGACAGAGAAGACTCCAGAGAAGATAGAATTATCGACCTTAGCCAATCTGCTGTGCCAGAGTCAGGGTCCTGAGTGAGAAAGGGTATAGCCTGAAGGCTTGAGATGAGGAAAACTGGGTCAATGCCCTTGAAGATTTTTAATCTATATATTCCTCTATATTACTTTGTCTTCAAAAGTGGTCCACACCTTCATATTGAAGGCCAATCCTTCCTCTTTCCTTGAAGACAATGAAAGCCTCTGTCTTGTAAGACAGTACACAACTCAGTCACTTAGGATTCACTCTGCCTCCAGTCCTGGTCGAAGACTAAAAGGGATAAGTCACCAACTAATCTAGCTAGATATGTGCTGGGCCTGCTAAGGGAGAAAAAAGACAGTATGCAGAAGAAACTACAGGACTTAGGTAACAAGTACTGGCAGGAACCGTGTACGTACAGTTCATGGCAAGCATTCTCTCATGATACAAGTCATATGCCCTACAAGGATCACAGAGGGTAGGACTGACGTACTGCCAGGTGGGCTCCTGAAAGCTGTAAGTAAGTGATGGCTTTCACTAAGTGAGATACAAATGCCAAAACTAAGATGGTAGAGGGTGGAAGAAACGATCAAAATACTCAAAGAATTTGTCCTACAAGAGTTGATAGACTACCTAGAGCTTGAAAACTTACCTGTGAGTACATTCTTTAAGGGTCTGGATGGAAAACATTTTGTTGTCCACAGCAATAAGGTGAGAGGGATGCATATTGTTGTGAAGGTCAGTTGTGACTCTACTCTGAGGACCAGGACCGATGGTAGAAGATGTTGTTTTATAATACAGAATAGAGGGCAGATTAGACATCGACATCCAGGACCTGAAGCATCTCTTGTAAAATGGGAAATATAGAAACCCGAAATAGAGGGCAGTGCAACAAGGTCACAGGAGCAGCCAGGGGGAGCTGACTCTCAGAGATATGTTGATATTTAACAGAACATGCCAGGCCTAGGGAAAACATAGCTAGACAGCTGACAAGAATATTGCACATTTGTAAAAACTAAAGGAAGTCAAGGAGGGATTATTAGAAGTTCGAAGTTTGCTATCTCCCATGAAATATTACTGTCTTACCTCCCCAACCCCCACCAGTTTCATGATCTAAGGCAGGTTTCACTTCCAGAACCCATGGATGAAAAAGACTAGTTCCCTAGGAGGAAGGACTTTGCAAAGCCATAGCAAGCATTGTGATGTAACGATTCCCAGTTCTTATTCAAAGGGCCTTACATCATTTATTGTGAATAACCATAAACTGAGGAAAGGGGAATAGTCAGATATTTACAAAACAGTAGGGGATTGGAGGTTAAGATGATATTGTTACACAGGTACCTGCAGTTTCACTGTGGTCCCCCAGTAAAGCAGGAGCGTATAGAGGCAGGTAATAAATGGAGTCCTGGGTACTCTGAGTACATGAACCCACTATACACTTCTTTCATCGCCAAACGCATACTTATCACTCAAAGCCTGCATTTAATTCCACTGGTCTATGGAATAAGAGCTATTGGAATGGAAAATGTTAAGTAGAAGCCTCTGAACTGTTTCTGAATCTGGCCAAGACAGTAAACCAAGAAAATTTTGCATAACGTTTCCTAAAAGCCTTAAAAGATGTAGGAATGATGGTTCCCATTGTACCCCCATTGAATTTCATGGAACTGCTTCATCAACGAAACATACAGATGAATTCTGGAGGATGCCAGTGGCCTACTATAAACTCAACCAAGTAGAAGCCCCAATTGTAGGAGCTATGCCAGATGTAACAAAATTTTAAAGAAAGAATCAGAAATAGCACCACACCAAGCCCAACTGAAGCATGGGGCAAAAGAAACACGCAATCCCAATATTGTCCTTCTTAACAATTTTGATATTTTGTTCATCATGGATTTTTTGTATTAATTTAACTTTTAAAAATATTTGCCTTGCAACATTTGTCTTAATTACTGAGTTTTTGATGGTCCCTCAAGTTTTTATATCTTCTGCAAGTGTCTTACTCACCTCATATTAGTCCTGGCTCTGTATATTGTGGTCTCGGGGACTTGGTACACAATCACTGTTCTGTTGAATGCATCATTTATCATCCCTAAAGATATGGCTAGCCAGAAAAAGTGAACATTCGCATGTGATAGACAAAATGCACATTTGCAGTGCTATCCTAGGGATATGTTAGTTCTTCTACCCTGTGCCATACATGTAGCCTAGAGAAAACTAAAGTACTTGAACATACACTATTACATTGGTCTACTACTTTAATGGCATTGCACGAGTGGACTAGATGAGGTAGAAGTAGGTATGTTGGTGACCTTGTTAAGATACGTGTAGTCCAGAGGATGTGAAACTATGGTTTTGTCTATAAACTCTACGAAGCTTCAGGGACGTGCTACATCAATAAACTGTGTGGCTTGGTATAAGACAGATCATCTCCACAGTAAAGGATGGTTTGTGTGTCTTTCATCTCCCACCACTAAGGAGGAAACATGATTCCTGGTAAGTAACATGGAAAACCACCATCTCTGAGTCAGACACAGAATAGGAAGGGACTCTTCAGAAGGTTCTGGTTTAGACACAAGGAGCCATGCCACATAGACTTCTTGTTTGAAGACAACGAAGCAGACAATATAATATTAGAGGAGTCTGTAGTAGGCAGAAGTCACCATGGGGAGTGATGGCATGACCCAAATGGAGAAGAGTAATGTGGACTCTTTAGTGCTGTGGAGCAAGACTGTGCCATCTGCAATGAAAAATTATGTTCTATTAGACAAACAGCCATGGCATGCTAGGGGTCTTGATAGAGACAGGCCACCTAAATGGAGATCCAGTCACCATGCAGAGCTGGATTCTGCCAAACTAATCTAGTCATAGGTTGCTGAGGCCCAGTAGCAATTAATCATGCCGGCGTCAGGCATGAACAGGGCCAGAGGGCACAAGTAAGCAACACAAGCAGGTGGCTCAGACTTCATGTCATCTACCACTGTCGCCTTGGCACATCTCACTTAGCACTTACCAGGTACCTGCTGCGTATGGGGAATTTGTTATGAATAGCTGATGGAGGAAGAAAAAGGCTAAGCTTAAGTTATAGATGGATTGGCTTAGTATACTCGACAGTTATGAATGTACTGTGCTACAGACCAACACAGGGGTGGGCCTGAAGACAGAGGTGAGGGGAAATCTTCCCAATGGGTATAACTTTGAGGTCTGCACATGTGTGGGAATAGTGGCCTGAGGTTAGAATACATATGGACTCACAAATAGTAATGAGTAAACCAGACAGTCAGGAGTTTGGAAGGATAATGATTTTAGGATTGGAAAAAAAACATTTTTGAGGACAAGGTACATAGATGGATATATAGGAGTGGGCATGAAATGCAAAACAACAAAAAAACAAAACAAAGTGTATAATGCATAATTCTCCCCATAGATCAGCCATCACGTAAGAAGCAGTAAGCAATCAACCATACAGGCTGGTTGGCATCATCAAGGTTCTGTCATCAGTCACCCAGTTTTGGTAAAACTGGACCATAAATGCAATAACTATGGGTGGCAGATAGGTTGTTCATGAATGGGCTCAATAGCATGGGGTCCTATTTAGTAACTGATCTAGTGACTGCTGATGCCAAATGTACAACCTGACAGCAATGGTACACAATGCAGATGTTCCCTCAAGGAGGCCAGCAAGCCATTTTGTGGGAAAGTGATTCAATCAAACCCTTAATTTACCAGAAAGGGGAGCAATTTATCTCAACATATATTGACACCTACTCCATATCTGTGAATTTGCCTTGGCTACAGGACCGTATCCAGCCCCACTATCCAAGGGCTTATAGATTATTTGTTTCACCAACATAGACTTTTCTTAACATTGTTTTGAATCAAGGGACACACTTCATAGCACACAGAGTGTTGACATGTATCCAGTGGCCATTGGTCTTATCATAAACTGCACCACCCAAACTTTTGCAGCCTGACTGCTTATTTAAAAATGATTCATGCGTCTCAGAATCAAGGAATGGTATCACATAATCTCATCCCAATAACCCACTTGAGGAATTTGTGTTTCTCATCCTCACAGCTTTTACCTTTGTGAGTCTAGAGGTCCAGATTCTCAATGGGGGATCCTTCCACTAGGCTATATGCAGCAAGCATCCCATTGTGCTTTAATTTGTAGCTGCTGCCTGGTGGTTTTGGAGTTCTTTTACAAAGAGACTAGCAAGCGTGAAAAGAGTTACTCCCCCAGTAGGGAAATGGATGTACTTGACCAAGGAGAGATAAAGTTGGTAGCTATACAATGGGTGCAGTAGGGGTGGATGTATTTCAGATCCAGGAGATACAATAGATAATCTCGTGATAATCTCTTATACAATTGTGAGAACAAATGGGCAACTGCCTCAGCTGCTATCTGAGCAAGCACGGGACTAGAGACTCTTTCACCTCAGGGATGAGGTGCTAGGTCACCAAGTAAGCCACTCTTCTTTTTTTTTTTCTTTTTTTTTCTGTCACCCAGTCTGGAGTGCAGTGGCATGATCTCGGCTCACTGCATCCTTTGACTCCTGGATTCAAGTGATTCTCTTGCCTCAGTCTCCTGGGTAGCTGGGATTACAGGCTCGCATCACTATGCCTGGCTAATTTTTTTTTTTTTTTTTTTTTGTATTTTTAGTAAAGACGAGGTTTCACCATGTTGGCCAGGCTGGTCTTGAACTCCTGACCTCCGGTGATCTGCCTGTGTTGGCCTCCCAAAGTGCTGGGATTACAGGTGTGAAGTAAGCCGCTCTTGTCAGCAGAAATGAATCTGGAATGGGTAGTAAAGAAGAAAAAATGTATCAGCTATGGCCTCCTGACTAGCTCTAGCAGCAGAAGCTGTAGTTCCTTCGACTAACCTTACTAAGTTTTGTTAGAAAAAGAAGCTTGAATCCCAGAGGAGCTGTTTTCAGATGAAGTGAATTTTTTACCTAGAGTAAGTGGATCAAGTGGCACAAAGAGTGGACAGTAGTGAATCCTATGTTGCATTGCTCAAATCTTCTGTAGGACTGAAACTTTTATAACCCCAGCTGCCAGGAAGCTTGGCAGCTGACGACCCACAGATAAATCTTTCCCCAAAACTTGCCCTCAATTTGAGTCCACTGATCGGTTGATGTGGCAGTAAAAAGTCTAGTAACCTTGCTTAACTGGGACAACCCTGAAGGGGCATCGAAGCCATAGCACCCCATTACATCGGCTGAGTCTTTGCTGCAGCTGCCCTGCTTCCTTTGCCAATCTGACTCCCCTCAAACACCGGCCGATGCTATTCTGGGAGCACTCCCCAATATGTTTCCTGCATTCGAATCTCACATGCTCCACGTCTAATGTCTGGCAAAGCTGACCTAGACGGGATTCCTTCAAATCACCAGAATTCATTCAATGTGAATAATTTAGAAGAAGTTTTGCACCAAAATGTTAAAAAAGTAAATCTGTTGCATAATTTTTCTCCTTATGCATTTTTTTTACTTTAATTGCTCCTTCATTACTTTTAATTTCTGTTTCTCTTTATTTTCCTTTTACCAACGTCAGTTAATATCATGTGAAAAATAAAATTTAGGATGCGTGGGTTTTTCTTGGCCTTACCACTAACCAATCCACTGAACTTGGATGAATTAAGTGTTTTCTGGGTAAGAGGTGATTCATTTGTTATTTGAGGGGATTATACCAGGAGATTGATCTTGAAAAATACCTTGCAACTGTGAAAGTTCAGTATTTTCCTTTTCATCAAGTTTTATATTTTAAATCGCATTGCAATTTGGGTTACAGAATTACTGAAAGTGAAGGAAAACTAATGAAGAAATGTTTACATCTTATAGGATAAGGTCCTAGCGGTTCTAAAAATAGGTACAAGTCTTATGAACACTGTTTGGTAATGCTGAGATGACGCTAATGAGACAAAGAGAAGCTTCCCCGTGGCAGATGACTTACAACAGATCATGTAACATTGATGCAAATAATTCCTTACATTCTTCAAGCATCTGCAGTATTTGTGATTTAAGAATTTGTAGACATGATTGAATTCATGATTCCTTCATTCAGCAATTATTTATTGAGTGCCTATTTTGTGCCCAGACTATACTAGGCCCTGGGGATATAGAGATTAATAAGATAAGATCCCAATTCTTGAACA